AAACGAAAGTCTCCAGGCCCGACCATTGACCCGCGGTCGGTCCACCATGTGGGAGTCCAGCACCCTTAACCACCACACCACCTGCTGGCTCCTCCATTTTTAATATATATATATTAAAAATTAGATTTTAGGGCCCAGCCATGGTGGTGTGTGTGGCTAAGAGACTGTGTTCTGCAGGCTGGGGCAACATGAGAGAACCAGGTTTGACTCCTGGTCCAACCTATAGGCTAAGTACAGTAGTATGCATCTGTAATCCCAGTGACCCTGTCTTAGAAAACAAAAACAGGGACCAGCAGGTTGTGTAGCAGTTCAGGCGCTGAACTCACATGGCTAACTATGGTTTGAATTCTGAACCTGGTGGCTTGCTTTCTCACTTTCCCTCTCTGTCTCTGTCCCCATCTTGGTTTCTCTCTGACCAAATTAAAATACAATAATAATAAATACAACTAAAATAAATATTTAAAATGAAAACAACAATAAAAAGCCAGTTCCGTGGCACATGTTCAAAAAATAAAAGCTGTAACAACTGTTTTGGTAAAAAGATGAAGATAAGAGTCCAGGAGGTTAAGGTGTTGGATCCTACATGGCCAACTGTGTGTTCAAGTCCTGGACCCAGCGACTTAAAAATCAGGCCTGTGGGGGTAGCAGTTGGTGAAGCAGTTATGTCGCCAGACTCCCAGACGGCCAACCACAATTCAAGTGCGGTGGTTTGAAAATTACTTCAGGCATATGTGCATGCATGCCCAAGAGGAGAATGGAGGAGAAGGGATTGCGACATGGCCATCCCCACCTGGGATGTGATTTCTTGCTTTCTGTTTTTAAGAGCAAAAATCTCTTAAAAAAAAAAATTCAGGCCAGCCACATGTGCATGTATGCCCAAAATCCTAAGAGGAGCACAGAAGAGGAAGAATTGCAGTGTGGTCATCCCATCTAGGGAGTAATTTCTCTCTCTCTCTTTCTCTTTCTGTCTCTCTCTGGCAAGTGCATGGGCTCTATGACCAAAAAAAAATGTGCCCAATGTCCTAAGAGGAGAATGGAGAAGGGATTGAGGTGCCATGCCCTCTGTGGGGTGATTTCTCACTTTCTCTCTCTTCCTCCAGAGAGTGCATGTGCCCTGTGGCAAACAAAACAAACAAAAAACATGAATATATGGGACCAGCAGTTGGCATAATGCCTATGTCACCAGACTCCCATGTAGCCAACCATGGTTGAAGACCCAGACCCAGTAGCTTAAACTCATGCTGGGTATGTGTGCCTACGCACCCAAGATCCTGAGAGGAGAATGGAGAAGGGATTGCACAGTGGCCATCCCCCTGCGGAGTGATTTCTCGCTTTCTGTCTCTCTGTCTCTCCCGTGAGCACACATACCCTAAAGCAAAAAAAAAAAAAAAATCTCTCTCTCTAAAAAAAGATATAAAAATAACAGGCATAACATTGATATTTAGTATCCATTTTCTGGGACTGGCAGGTGGCATGGTGGTTAAGGGCGCTGGACTCCTACATGGCCGACCGTAGTTCGAGTCCCAGACCTGGAGGCTTGCTTTCTCACTTTCCCTCCCTCCCCCTCCTCTCACTCTCACGCTATCTCTCTCTGGTCAAATGAAAATAAATAAATGAATGAATAAAGTTAAACAAAATTTAAATAAATATATATTCATTTTCTATTAATACATGAGGACATGGTAAATACGGTTGGCCCTGTCCAGACTATTGACGGTATTAAGCTATCTCTAACACTGTTTACGGTTGTGGAAGTATGAATTTGCTCAAGCTTTTGAAGGGCAATTTGACTCAATAAATCAGAATTTCACAAATATTTGTTTGACCCAGTAATTCTGCTTCTTAAAATGTGTCCCAAAGTAATCGCCAGCGAGGGGATATATTGTTAGGTCAAGGCTATTTATCCAAACACTGTTTATCATGGTGAAAAACTGTAGATATAGCTAAGCATGTCATACCAGGAGACGAGTTAAATAAGTGATGCTCCCTACACAGTACGGACAACCACGCAATAGTTTAAAATGATTTACTGTAGTATTGAATGACATGGGGGATATTCATAGTTACAGTATTAAATAGCAAGGGGGCCAGCAGGTGGCATGGTGGTTAAGGGCACTGAACTCCCACATGGCCAATTGCAGTTCGAGTCCTGGATCTGGCGGCTTGCTTTCTCACTTTCCCTCTCTCTCTCACTTTATTCCTCTCTGGTCAAATGAAAATATAAACAATTATAAAAAAGAATTATTTTATTTCACTTTATTTATCTATTTATTTATTTATATTTTCATTTGATCAGAGAGGGACAGAGTGAGAGAGAGACAGTGAAAGCGAGAAAGCAGACCACCAGGTCCTGGACTGGAACTGCTGTCGGCCATGTGGGAGTCCAGCATCCTTAACCACCACACCACCTGCTAGCCCCAAAATAAAATAATTCTTAGAGAAAATTACACATTAAAATTTTTAAAAATTGGAACCAGCAGGTGGCGTGGTGATTAAGGTGCTGGTCATCCCATCTGGCCGGCCAAGGTTTGAGTCCTGAATCTGGTGGTTTGCTTTCTCTCTTCCTCTCTCTCTCACTTTCACCCTCTGTCTCTCTCTGGTCAAGTTAAAAAAAAAAAAGAATAAATAAAAATTTTAAACATTTTAAAAAATCTTTTTAAGAAATAGCAAAATAAGATAATAGAAAAAGCTATGAAACAGCGATATAGTAGTATCAGTTTGGTGTTGTGATGTTCTGGTCCGTGGAGTCACAGAAACCTCAACTTAAACTGCTTTGAACAATAAAGGAAGGCCCAGCAGATAGTGCTGAGGTTAAGAGAGCTGAATCCCACATGGCCAACTCTGTGTTCAAGTCCCAGACCCAGCGGCTTGAAAATCACACTGGGTATGTGTATGTGTGTGTGTGTGTGTGTGTACCTGTACCCAAAATCCCAAGAAGAGAATGGAAGAGAAGTGATTGCAGCATGGCCGTCTCCCCTAGGGGGTGATTTCTCACTTTCCATCTCTCTCTCTCTGTCCTCTGTCTCTCTGGCAGACTCACATACCCTATTGTAAAAAGTGAACAAGCAGGCATCAGTAGGTGGTGTAGTGGTTAGGCACTGGACTCCCACATGGCCTACTGCAGTTTGAGTCCCAGAACTGACAGCTTGCTTTCTCAGTTTCCCTTTCTTTCTGTCTCTTTCTGACCAAATTAAAAAATAAATAATAACAAAATAAATTAATACTCAAAATAAAAACAATAAAGGGAATATGGCTCAAATAATTTCTTAAAAATGCAATGGCAGGGGCCAGCAGGTAGCATGGTAGTTAACTGTGCTGGACTGCCATGTGGCCAATCACAGTTCGAGTCCTGGATCTAGCAGCTTACTTTCTCACTTTTCCTCCCTCTCTCTCTCTCTCTTTCTCTCTCTCTCTCTCTCTCTCTCTCTCTCTCTGTCTTTGTCTCTGGTGAGTGCACTTGCCCTGTAGCAAGTTAAAAAATAATGATGATGATAAGTGAAAATAAATAAATAATTCTTTTAAAAAAATGCAATGGCAGGGAGGGCTTCAGGTGAAGAAATTACCAAAACCTGGTCTCTATCTATTCCACTTTCCATAGTGTCAGCTTATCCTTAGGCCAAGTATCTGCATGATATAAGATAGCTGACAGCGGGGCTGGCAGGTGGCATGGTGGTTAAAGTTGCTGGACTCGCTTATGATCAACCACAGTTCAAATCTCAGACCTGGCAGCTTGCTTTCTCACTTTCCCTCT